AGAAAAGGATTTCAAATGGAAAACACTTTGATGGGGTCCAGGGTCCGGGGCAGGTGGAAAGGAGAAGACCAGGCGAAGGGGGGCTGGGTGGCTTGATCCAGGCGTGCGGCCCCCGAGCTCTGCAAGCTCAGACGGTCTCGGGGACTGTAGGGGACAGAGGAAGATGCAGAAGGTGAGATGCGGAAGGGGCGGTCAGGCTCTCGGACCCGACACTCAACTCCCTTTCCATCTCCCACTGGGTTTCGGAAAAGCAGAAGTGCTCAGGGCAGACTCCCTTCTCTGTGCTTAAGGATGACTCCTGGTTTGGTGCTCAGGGCTGACTCCTGGCTCTGTGCTCAGGGCTGACTCCTGAGTCTGTGCTCAGGGCTGATCCCGGCTCTGTGCTCAGCGTTCACTCCCGATTCTGTGCTCAGTGCTGACTTCTGGCTCTGTGCTCAAGGCCGTCTCCTGGTTCTGGGCTCAGAGTTGACTCCTGGGTCTGTGCTTGTGGCTGACTCCTGGCTCTGTGCTCAGGCCTCATTCCCAACTGTGTGCTCAGTGCTGCCTCCTGATTCTGGGCTCAGAGTTGACTCCCGGGTCTGTGCTCAGGGCTGACTCCCAGCTATGTGCTCAGGGATGACTCCCAGCTATGTGCTCAGGGATGACTCCCGGCTCTGTGCTCAGGGCTCACTCCTGACTCTGTGCTCAGGGCTGACTCCCGATTCCGTGCTCACAGATGACTCCTGGGTGGGGAATCATTGTAGTTACTTGGTGGGGGTCTAATCCCAGTTGCTATCATATAAGGCAGCACCACTCTTCCTGCAGTTTTGCCTCAACCAATTTTTAACAACTTGTTCTGGGTCAGGGGCTGGAGCAATAGCCCAGCGGAGAAGGCGTTTGCCTTGCACATGGCCGACCCGGGTTCGATTCCCGGCATCCCCTAGGGTCCCCCGAGCACCGCCAGGTAGGAGTCATTCCTGAGTGCAGAGCCAGGAGGAAGCCCTGAGCGTGGCCGGGTATGTCCCAAAAAGCCAAAAAAAATTTTTGTTCTGGGTCACGCCCGGCGATGCTCAGGGGTCCCTCCCGGCTCTATACTCAGGAATTACACTTGGCAGTGCTCGGGGGACCCTATGGGATGCTGGGAATCGAACCCGGGTCGGCCAGGAGAGAGACAGATGGAGAGAGAGAGAGGGAGAGAGAGGAAGGAAGGGAAAGAGACAGAGATAGAGAGAGAGAGATTATAAGGTGAAGGAGACTCCCCATGTCTCTGTCTCTCCCGACTCCCGGCCCCCAGAACCAATAAAACTTTATCGACACCCTCTGGCAGTCAGTCTAATGTCAGCCGCTGCCCGATGACTCGTTGAAAATGTTTTCCTTAGCATGACTTGAAAATATTTCCCAGGGGCTGGAGCGAGAGCCCAGCGGGGAGGGCGTTGGCCTGGCACGCGGCCGACCCGGGTTCGATTCCCAGCATCCCCTGGGGTCCCCCGAGCACCGCCAGGAGTCATTCCTGAGTGCATGAGCCGGGAGGGACCCCTGAGCATCGCCGGGTGTGACCGAAAAAGAAAAGAAAAAAAAAAGAGAAAAAAAAGAAAGAAAATATTTCCCAGCTGGGCGGTCAGGCCCGCTCCCCGCCAACACAGTTCCCAGCTGGTTTGAGCCTAGAGCTGACGTGAACATCAACAGCCACCAGGAAAAACAAGACACCCCCTCCCCCTCTGCCCCACCAGAAAAAAGAAAAAAAAACATGTTCTTACAGGTTTGGCCAGAGCTGGGCTGGGCATCGGGGGCCCTAAGCAAACAAAAACAAAATGCCTCTCGCTGAGTTGGCCGCTGATGGGCACAGCTGACTCCCTTGAGGATGCAGTTCTTTTCCGTGCAGAATTCATAAAGCACACGGGACTCAGCCACCCGCCCACAAAGGCTCTTTCTGAAACGTCTGCGGTTCTCTGCCCAGGCAAATTCCCGCCTCCCGAAGGCGCCGGCTTGCATTTCGATATTTCTGCCTCCCCCGAAGCAACCCTGAGCTTTCTTCTGCAAGAGTAAGGTGGCAACCTCCCCCAACCCCGCAAGAAATTCATTTAAAATTGATGAAAGTCCATTTAAAAATTTAAATTTATTCATTTTTCATTTTTTAAAAAAAAATAATGCATTTAAAGATTCCATACAGGGGAGCAGAGCGATAGCACAGCGGGGAGGGCATTGGCCTGGCACGTGGCCGACCCGGGTTCGATTCCCAGCATCCCATAGGGTCCCCTGAGCACCGCCAGGAGTGATTCCTGAGTGCAGAGCCAGGAGTCAGCCCTGAGCATCACCGGGTGGGACCCCCAAAAAAAAAAACAAAAAAAAAAACCAAAAAATCATGCAGTCAGGAATCCCTCCTGGCAGTGCTCGGGGGACCCCAGGGGATGCCGGGACTCGAACCCGGGTCGGCCACGTGCCAGGCCAACGCCCTCCCCGCTGGGCTCTCGCTCCAGCCCCTCTAAAAATTTTTTTAGAAAATAATCTTGGTTTTCTCTCCCGACTCCCCCCATCCCCACGGTGAGACCAGTGAGGACCGGACCCCCGCACCAGCAGAGGGCCATGACCAATCACCGCAGCTTTTTCAGGATTGCCGGAATCAGAGCCAGGGGAATCGCCACAATAGCTTCAAGCCCCCCACCCCTGTGCATCTCTCACCCCCACCCTGGGGTCTCAGGGCCATAAGGGCGTCGGGCGGGGCGGGCACTATCCGAGCCCACCAAGTCAGTGCGTGCAGACTTTTCTCTGCTTCCCAAAACCCAGGGCAAAGCTCAGATGATTGTGTCCAGGGCTAGAGTCTTTCCGTTGGCATTTGCTGTCTCCATCTGGGTCACAGTTCCTGCAGGAAAGAATCCTCTGGGGAATCCGGGAGAGGGCAGCAGATCGAGTATTTGCCTGGCACTCGGGTTTGCTTCCTACGGACCCGGAGGGGTCCCCGGAGCACTGCCAGAAGTGAGGCCTGAGCATAGAGCTGGGAGTGAGCCCTGAGCACTGAGTCAGGAGTGAGCCCTGAGCACAGAGCTAGGAGTGATCCCTGAACACTGAGATGGGAGTGATCCCTGAGCACAGAGCCGGGACTGAGCCCTGAGCACAGAGCCAGGAGTCAGCCCTGAGCACAGAGCCAGGAGTCAGCCCTGAGCACAGAGCCAGGAGTCAGCCCTGAGCACAGAGTCAGATGTCAGTCCTGAGCACGAAGCCGGGAGTCAGCCCTAAGTACAGAGCTGTGAGTCAGTCCTGAGCACGGAGCCGGGAGTCAGCCCTGAGCACCGAGCCAGGAGTCAACCCTGAGCACAGAGCCAGGAGTGAGTCCTGAGCTCAGAGCCAGGAGTCAGCCCTGAGCACAGAGCCAGGAGTCAGCCTGAGCACAGAGTCAGGTGTCAGTCCTGAGCACAGAGCTGGGAGTCAGCTCTGAGCACAGAGCCGGGAGTCAGCCCTAAGTACAGAGCTGGGAGTCAGCCCTGAGCACGGAGCCAGGAGTCAGCCTTGAGCACCGAGCCGGGAGTCAGTCCTGAGCACAGAGCTGGGAGTCAGCTCTGAGCACAGAGCCGGGAGTCAGCCCTAAGTACAGAGCTGGGAGTCAGTCCTGAGCACGGAGCCGGGAGTCAGCCTTGAGCACCGAGCCAGGAGTCAACCCTGAGCACAGAGCTCGGAGTGAGTCCTGCGCTCAGAGCCTGGAGTCAGCCCTGAGCACAGAGCTAGGAGTCATCTGCGAGCACAGAGCCAGGAATTATCTGTGATCACAGAGGCAGGAGTCAGCCCTGAGCACAGAGCTAGGAGTCATCTGTGAGTGCAGAGCCAGGAGTCATCTGTGAGCACAGGGCCAGGGGTCAGCCCTGAGCACCGAGCCGGGTGCCAGCCCTGAGCAAAGAGCCGGGAGTCGGCCCTGAGCACAGAGGTGGGAGTCAGCCCTGAGCACAGAGCTAGGAGTGAGCCCTGAGCACAGAGCTAGGAGTGAGCCCTGAACACTGAGATGGGAGTGATCCCTGAGCACAGAGCCGGGACTGAGCCCTGAGCACAGAGCTAGGAGTCAGCCCTGAGCACAGAGTCAGATGTCAGTCCTGAGCACGGAGCCGGGAGTCAGCCCTGAGCACCGAGCCAGGAATCAACCCTGAGCACAGAGCCAGGAGTGAGTCCTGAGCTCAGAGCCAGGAGTCAGCCCTGAGCACAGAGCCGGGAGTCAGCCTGAGCACAGAGTCAGGTGTCAGTCCTGAGCACAGAGCTGGGAGTCAGCTCTGAGCACAGAGCCGGGAGTCAGCCCTAAGTATAGAGCTGGGAGTCAGTCCTGAGCACGGAGCCGGGAGTCAGCCTTGAGCACCGAGCCAGGAGTCAACCCTGAGCACAGAGCCAGCAGTGAGTCCTGAGCTCAGACCCTGGAATCAGCCCTGAGCACAGAGCTAGGAGTCATCTGCGAGCACAGAGCCAGGAGTCATCTGTGATCACAGAGGCAGGAGTCAGCCCTGAGCACAGAGCTGGGAGTCAGCACTGAGCACAGAGCCAAGAGTCATCTGTGAGTACAGAGCCAGGAGTCATCTGTGAGCACAGGACCAGGAGTCAGCCCTGAGCACCGAGCCGGGTGCCAGCCCTGAGCAAAGAGCCGGGAGTTGGCCCTGAGCACAGAGGTGGGAGTCAGCCCTGAGCACAGAGTCGGAAGTCAGCCCTGAGCACAGAGCTAGGAGTGAGCCCTGAGCACCGAGCCAGGAGTCATCCCTGAGCACAGAGTCGGGAGGGGAGTGAGACCCCCTCGAACCGATCCCAGTGGCCCCTCCTCCGCGCGTCCCGCGACTCAACATTCCCGAGTCCCCGCACAAAAGCATCCGCCGCTGCCGACTCAGCAGCAGGAGAAGAAAAGATTTTCTTGTGCGTCGGAGGGAGGGAAACACCCTGGGCTGGGGTGAAAGGGGCCTTTGTGTGTTTGTGTGTTTGTCTGTGCGTTTGTGTGTTCGCGGGCGCTGGGGGCTGGGGAAGGGACCCCCGGGGGGGTTGTGGGGGGCGACACTTGCCGTTGTTTCTCCTGCAGCAGTTGCCCCTCCGGTTGTAGTAGCCGACGGCCGCCCCCACCAGGGTCACCACCACCATGGACACGATCGGAGACACCACTTTGGCCACGGTGTTGCCGCCTGCGGGGGGGGGGAGAGGAAGACAGGGTGTATGTGTGGTGTGTGTGTGTGTGTGTGTGTGTGTAGGGGTGGGGAGGGCACGGGGCGTCCGGGGGCATCTGGGGCAGCCCGGGACGGCGGGAAAAGCACACAGTGACCTCCCGGGGGGACACGGGGGCAGATTCAGGGCGTCAGGACCAGCAGGCAGCAGAGGGAGCTGGAGGCAGAGTGAGGAAGACGGAAGTACACACACACACACACACACACATGCACACACACAGGCACACATATGCACAGACATGCACACGCACACAGGTACACATACAAGCACACACACGCAGGCACACACAGGCACACACATGCACACACACACATTGACAAACAGGCACGCACACACAGGCACACACAGGCACACACACAGGCACTCACAGACACAGGCACGTACACACACGCACACACAGGCACACACATGCACACACACACTGACACACAGGCACGCACATACAGGCACACACAGACACACACAGGCACGCACACACACGCACACACAGGCACACACATGCACACACACACTGACACACAGGCACACACATGCGCACACACATACAGGCACACACAGGCACACACAGGCACACACACAGTCACACAAAGGCACGCACACACAGGCACACACGCACACACACATAAGCACACACATGCAAACGCAGGCACACTCAGGTGCACACACACAGGCGCACACACAGGCCCACACAGACACGGACACAGACATGCACACACAGACACACACAGGCACACAAAGGCACACAGCACACACAGGCACACACAGACATGCACACACAGGCGCACATGCAAGCACACACAGACACGCACACACAGGCACACACAGGCACACACACAGACAAGCACACGCAGGCACACACAGACATGCACACACAGGCACACACACTCAAACACACAGGCACACACACAGACATGCACACACACAGGGACACACAGGTACACACACAGGCACACATGCAGGCACACACACACATGCACACCCACACATGCACACACACGCACAGACACAGAGATAAGGGGCTGGATCACAGCAGCAGCCACCGATGAGCCGTACATGCTGGGGACGTACATCCACAGCCCCCTGCTGCTCTGCGGGTGTGTCTGGGGTCAGACCTCTCTCTACAACACAGTTCCCTGAGGCCGGGCGTTGTGGGAGCCAGGAGATGGAAAGAGCGAGCGTGTGAAGGGACGGCTGTGTGCCTGAGCGAATGGGTGCAGGACGAAGTGTGAGTGTGTGCAGGCATGAACGAATGAATGGGGGCATGAGTGAGTGGGTGTGTGCCTCAGTGAGTGGGGGTGTCAATGTGTCAGGGGATGACAGTGTTCGTGAAAGAGTGTGTGGTGAATGAGTGAATGAGTGAATGTGTGTTTGAGTGAATGAGTGAATTGTGAGTGAATGAGTGACTGTGTGAGTGAGTGGATGAGTGACTGTGTGAGTGAGTGAATGAGTGACTGTGTGAGTGAGTGAATGAGTGACTGTGTGAGTGAGTGAATGAGTGAATGTGTGAGTGAGTGAATGAGTAAATGTGTGAATGTGTGAGTGAGTGAATGAGTGACTGTGTGAGTGAGGGAATGAATGTGTGAGTAGGTGAATAAGTAAATGTGTGAATGTGTGAGTGAATGAGTGAATGTGTGAATGAGTGAATGAATGAATGAGTGAATGTGAGTGAGTGAATTGTGAGTGAACGAGTGAATGTGCAAGTCGATGAGTGTGCCTCCTCCAGGGGCAAAACCCTTGGACCGAGAGTCCCTCGAGAGATCCCCCAGTGACACATTCTTTTTTTTTTTTTTTTTGCTTTTTGGGTCACACCCAGCCATGCTCAGGGGTTCCTCCTGGCTCTGCACTCAGGAATGACTCCTGGCGGTGCTTGGGGGACCCTATGGGATGCTGGAAATCGAACCCGGGTCGGTCACATGCCAGGCCAATGCCCTCCCCGCTGAGCTATTGCTCCAGTCCTGGAGTTTTCAAGAATCATATATGAGTGATAAAATTTCCCCTTCCTGTTGGTTTGCAGTTATCACTGTGTCATTTCTTTTGATCACTGTGTCATTATTATTATTATTATTTGTTTTTTGGGTCACACCCGGCGATCCTCAGGGGTTCCTCCTGGCTCTGCACTCAGGAATGACTCCTGGCAGTGCTCGGGGGACCTCGTGGGATGCTGGGAATCGAACCCCGGTCGACCGCGTGCAAGACCAACCCCCCACCCGCTCCGGCGGGCGTGCCGAGCTCCCATTCTGCCCCAGGAATTACCGTGCTGGTCGCCGTAGGTGGAATAGCCGTTTCCTGCGAGGGAAGAGCAGAGACAAAGATTCAAAAGTAGGCTCTGCCCCCACCCCAGGGCCCCGAGAAGCCGGGATGTCATGATGCGGGGGCGGACACGTGTGCACATGCAGACCCCCAACCCTCTGCAGTGCCCGGCAGTGAGCATACACGCATGCATGCCTGCACGCCCCCCCCCCCCCAGCACACACATACACATGGGTGCAGGGAATGACCATGTGTGTGTGTGCACAAGGACACAGATGCACATGCAGGCAGGCATTCCCTCCCACATACCCCTGTACACACAGGGACACACATGATCATGCAGCACACAACACACATGTAGATACACATGCAAGACATACAGCTGCGATGCGTGTTGTGCATGAAAGCACTGGTAGGCACGAGAAAGTCGCCGGAAGGTTCACGGGTGAAGAGTAAGCACGCACACACACGTATGAACACACGCACACAAAGCATGCACACACCCGATCGCTCACCCAGTTGTACACAGCTAGAGGGACACACATGCACAGCGTGAACATGAGTACACACACAGACATGCATGAACACGCAACACACCACACACACGTGAACACACATGCAGACACACAGGTGTGATGCATGTCATACATGAAAGCACTGGAAGGCACATTTCCAAGAAAAGTGTCAGAGGAAGGTACGTGTGTGCAGGTTAAGTACACACATGTACAAACGCACACATGCACGAAGAGTGTGCACACTTGATTTTATGCCACTAGAGGGACCCAAATGCACCACAGGAACATAAGTACACACAGAGACCAGCGTGAACATGCAACATACAGGACACACGTGAACACACATGCAGACATACATGTGCAATGCGTGTCATGCATGGAAGCACTGGTAGGCACATTGGCAAGAAAAATGTCACAGGAAGGTAGACGGGTGAAGATTAAGCACACACACGTATGAACACACGTGCACAAAGCATGCATACACTCAATTGCTCACGCAATTATACACAGCTAGAGGGACTCAAATCAAATGTACCACGTGAACACAAGTACACACAGGGACACGCATGAACATGCAACACGCAACACAGATGTGAATAGACATGTAGGCATGCATGTGCAATGCGTGTCATGCATAGAGCCAATGATAGGCACATTGGCAAGAAAAATGTCACAGGAAGGTACGTGAGTGCAGATTGAGCACACACACATGTACAAACACACATGCACACAGTTGCTTGCGTATTCAGCTATAGGGACCCAAATGCACCATATGAACCCAAGTACACACAGGGACATGCATGAACATGCAACATGCAACACACATGTGAACATGCATGCAGACAGACACACATGTAGAAGACATGTCACGTATGGAAACACTGGTAGGCACATTATCAAGAAAAACGTCACAGGAAGGTACATGGGTGCAGATTGAGTACACACACGTGTACAAACACACATGCACAAAGCATACACACACCTAATTGTGTGTGTAGCGAGAGGGACCCAGATGCACCACGTGAACACAAGTACACACAGGGACACACATGAACATGCAACACAACACATGTATGAACATGCATGTAGACAGACATGCATGTACAATGCATGCCACGTATGGAAGCACTGGTAGGCACATTGGCAAGAAAAACATCACGGGAAGGTACATGGGTGCAGATCAAGTACACACACGTGCACAAAGCATGCACACACCCAGTTGCTCACGCAGCCCTAGGGACCCGAACACACCACATGAGCACAATAGGTCCGTATACATGCCACACACACGAACACACGTGAGCAGGCATGTTTGAACAACCACGGGGGTGCGGGCAAAGCACACACATGGAAAACACACATGCCACCGCGTGAACATACGTCCACACACAGACACCCACGAGCACACAACACACCACCACCACCCACACATATGTGAACACACGTGCAGACACACAGGTGTGACGCATGTCATTCATGCGTGTCAGAGCCACGGGCACCCAGGTGAGCACAATCCACTCACAGACATCACCGCACACGCACGCTCAGGCTCTCCACACGTGGACAGCAGCCCAACGCGTGCCCGGCCACGCCCGCACGCAGGGGCCCACACGCAGAGCGACCCGCACGACCGGCTCTTCACATCACGGCAGCGGACACACAAGGCGGGCGGCAGCGGCGGTGGGGTTAGAGCCAGCCGGGGGGGCCCCAGGGGCGGCCCCTCGGCCCCACACGGGCAGTTATAGGGACGCCAGAGGGGACGAGGGTCCTGCACACACGCAGGGCGGGCGCCCTCGGTTACCGTAGCTGCTGCCGTGTGGATTGGGTCTGTGGCGCCCACCTCCTGCAGGACACACACGGTCACCGGGGTGGACAGGGGAGGGACACAGGGGACTTGCCCAAAGCCTGGGAGGGGGCCTCGCCCGTTGTCCCTCACGGAAGGGGACAGAGGGACAAGGAGGGCCCTGGGGTGGGTCCTCCTCCCCCAGGACCCCAGGGTGGGCCGTGGGGGGCGTCAGGAGGGGACGGATTGTCAGGGAGGACCCTGGGGTGGGTCCCCCTTCTCCCGGCCCCTGGCCGCTGGGCCCCAGCCCAGGAAGGTGCTTGTGCGAGTCAAGGGTCCGATGGCCACAGGGGCCGGGTTTGGGGCAGCTGGTCTCAGAGACTGGCCAGGGTGGATGCCCAGGATGACGGTAGCGATGTCAGGACAGACACAGGGAACTGCTGGTCCTTGCAAGGCGGTGGAGGGGCGTGTGGGTGTGTATGTGAGAGACAGAGAGAGTGTGTGTGTGCGTGTGAATGTGAGTCTTTGTGGGTATGTGAGTATGGCTGTGTATGAGGGCAGGTCTGTGAGTGTCGGTGTGCGTGTGAGCGTGTGAGAGTGTGTGAATGCCCGTCTGTGAGCGTCAGTTCATGTGTGAGCCTGTGAGTCTGAGGATGTGATTGTGCAAGTGCGTGTCTGTGAGTGAGTCTCTGTCTGTGAGTGTCAGTGTGTGTGACTGTGTGAGTCTGAGGGTGTGATTGTGAGAATGCGTGTATGTGTGTGAGGGTATGTCTGCGGGTGTGCGTGAGTGTGTGTGAGTGAGTGTATGTCTGTGAGTGTGTGTGTGTGAGTGTCTGAGTCTAAGGGTGTGATTGTGACGGCGTGTATGTGTGTGAGTGTACGTCTGCAGGTGTGCGTGAGTGTGTGTGAGTGAGTGAGTGTCTGTGAGTGTGTGTGTGAGTGTCTGAGTCTGAGGGTGTGACTGTGTGAGTGTGTGTATGGGTGTGACTGTATGTCTGCGGGTGTGCGTGTGTGTGAGTGAGTGTCTGTGAGTGTCTGTGTGTGTCTGAGTCTGAGGGTGTGATTGTGCGAGTGTGTGAGGATATGTCTGTGGGTGTGAGTGTGCGTGAGTGTGAGTGAGTGTATGTCTGTGGGTGTCAGTGTGAGTGAGTGTGAGTCTGAGGGTGTGATTGTGCAAGTGTGTGTCTATGTGTGTGTATGTTTGCGGGTGTGAGTGTGGGTGAGAGTTCGAGTGTGTCAGTGTGCGTGTGAGGGCCTGAGTGTGTCCGTGTGTTTGGTTTTAGAGTCTGCGACAGTGCATGTGAGTGTGAGTGTGTGCAAGTATGTTCATGTGCTAGCGTGTGCCAGTGTGTGGCTGTGTATGAGTGTGTGTGATTAGGTGCTGACAGCCCACAGGGGTCAGGGTGTGTGACGGGAACAAACACAAAGAAGAACCCCGCCCGCGTCCCCGTCCCCGCGCCCGGCCCGAGTGCGTGCGGCCTTACCGTGCGTGTTGCCGTATCCGTCGTATCCCGGGTTGTGGCTCCCGCCACCGCCACCACCACCGCCAAAGCCGCCCGCTGTGGAGACAAGCATGTGTGCGGTTGGGGACACTCGGGGGCGGCCAGAGACACAGACAGACCCAAGGCGCAGTCACAGGGACAGAGAGACGAGAGACACACAAACACACAGACCAATACACAGACACACACAAGCACACACAACACACACGGACACACACGTATACACAACACAGACACACACAGACACACACAGACACAGACACACACAGCCATACACAGACATAGACACATAGGCACACAGACACAGTTACACAGACACACACTCGGACACACACAGACACACACACCTGCTCAGAAGCTCACGTGGTTCTCCTTCTCCTGCTCCCTGTCCCCATGAGAGAAGTCTGTCCTGCATTCTCCCCACATGCAAGAACACAGAATTTCCACGCCACACACAAAAACACAGAATTCTCCTCCATGCAAGAACACAGAATTCTTCCCACATGCAAGAACACAGAATTCTCCCCACACGCAAAAAACACAGAATTCCTCCCCCCCCACAAAAACACAGAATTCTCTCCACAAGCAAGCACACAGAATTCTCCCCCCACGCAAGAACACAGAATTTCCTCACACGCAAGAACAGAATATTCTTTGCACACGCAAAAACAGAATTCTTCCCCATGCAAGAACAGAATTCTCCCCACACACCAAAGCACAGAATTCACTGCAGAGGCAAAAACATAGCATTCTCCCACCACACAAAAACACAGAATTCTCCCCACACGCCAACGCACAAATTTCTCGCCCCATGCAAGAACACAGAATTCTCCCCACACGCCAAAACACAGACTTCTCCCCCCACACAAAAATACAGAATTCTCCCCACACGCAAGAACACAGAATTCTCCCCCATGCAAGAACACAGAATTCTCCGCACACGCCAAAACACAGAATTCACTGCACAGGCAAGAACACAGAATTCTCCCTCCACACAAGAACACAGAATTCTCCCCCATGCAAGAACACAGAATTCTCCCCACACACCAAAACACAGAATTCACTGCACAGGCAAGAACACAGAATTCTCCCTCCACACAAGAACACAGAATTCTCCCCACATGCAAGAACACAGAATTCTCCCCACATGCAAGAACACAGATTTCTGCCCCCCCCATGCCAAAACACAGAATTCTCCCCCATGCCAAAACACAGAATTTCCCTACGTGCCAAAACACAGAATTGTCCCTATACACAAGAACACAGAATTTCCCCACACGCAAGAACATAGTATTCTTCACACATGCAAAAACACAGAATTCTCCCCCATGCAAGAACACAGAATTCACTCCACACGCAAGAACACAGAATTCTCCCCCAACAAAGGTGGGTTTCAGCCCAAACCCGCTCGGGGCCTCTCGAACCCCACCAGGAGGGACCCACCCCCCCCAGCACAGAGCCAGGAGGAAGCCCTGAGCATGGCCACGTGCGGTTCCTGGAGGAAAATAAAAAATCATAAATACATAAAGAAGATTCTGTCGGGGGCCCGGAGAGGCGGCCCAGTGGTTAGTGAAATGGAGAGACAAAGAGAGAGAAAGAGAGAGACAGAGACCGAGAGATGGACAGAGACAAAGAGAGAGAGGGAGAGACAGAGACAGAGAGACAGAGATGGAGAGAGACAAAGACAGAGAGAGACAGAGAGATGGAGACAGACAGAGACAGAGAAAGAGAAAGAGGGACAGAGATGAAGAGAGAGAGAGGGAGAGACAGACAGAGACCGAGAGATGAACAGAGAGAGACAGAGATGGAGAGACAGAGACGGAGAGAGACAGAGATGGAGAGACACAGAGACAGAGAGACAGAGAGAGACAGAGAGATGGAGACAGACAGAGACAGAGAAAGAGAAAGAGGGACAGAGACGAAAAGAGAGAGGGAGAGACAGACAGAGACCGAGAAATGGACAGACAGAGACAGAGATGGAGAGACAGAGACGGAGAGAGACAGAGATGGAGAGACACAGAGACAGAGAGACAGAGAGAGACAGAGAGATGGAGACAGACAGAGACAGAGAAAGAGAAAGAGGGACAGAGACGAAAAGAGAGAGGGAGAGACAGACAGAGACCAAGAGATGGACAGACAGAGACAGAGATGGAGAGACAGAGACGGAGAGAGACAGAGACAGAGAGAGACAGAGAGACAGAGAGAAACAGAGAGATGGAGACAGACAGAGACAGAGAAAGAGAAAGAGGGACAGAGACGAAAAGAGAGAGGGAGAGACAGACAGAGACCGAGAGATGGACAGACAGAGACAGAGATGGAGAGACAGAGACAGAGAGAGACAGAGATGGAGAGACACAGAGACAGAGAGAAACAGAGAGATGGAGACAGACAGAGACAGAGAAAGAGAAAGAGGGACAGAGACGAAAAGAGAGAGGGAGAGACAGAGACCGAGAGATGGACAGACAGAGACAGAGATGGAGAGACAGAGACAGAGAGAGACAGAGATGGAGAGAGACAGAGACAGAGAGACAGAGAGAAACAGAGAGATGAAGACAGACAGAGACAGAGAAAGAGAAAGAGGGACAGAGACGAAAAGAGAGAGGGAGAGACAGACAGAGACTGAGAGATGGACAAACAGAGACAGAGATAGAGAGACAGAGACAGAGAGAGACAGAGAGAGACAGAGACAGACAGAGAGAGAGACAGAGAGATGGAGCCCATCCGGGTTCGCGCCTGGTCCCCTGAGCACCAGCAGGGAACCGGCAACGGGTGCGAAACCCTCCATGGCACCTACCTGCCGGGGGCCGGGGTCTGGGCGGGTAGCGGCCCTCGTCGTGGGCGTCATTGTAATAACCTGTGTGTGGTGGGGAGGCCCCAGAGATAGCACAGTGGTTAGGGAGCACGCTTGGCACGGGGCGGACCCGGGTTCTACTTCCGGCATCACGGGCCGTCACCCCCAGCCTCCTTGTCAGGAGTGATCACCGAGCACTGAGGCAGGAGTGAGGTCCCAGGGATGCCTTGTGTGTGTGCAGAGACAGAGACAGAGACAGAGAGACGGAGACAGACACAGAGAGAGACAGAGAAACGGAAAAAGAGACAGAGAAAGAGGAAGAGGGACAGACGAAGAGAGGAAGGGACAGAGACGGAGAGATGGACAGACAGAGACAGAGAGATACTGAGAGACAGAGAGAGGCAGAGAGATGGAGTCAGAGAGACCGAGACAGAGAAAGAGAAAGAGGGACAGAGACATAGAGAGAGGAGAGACAGACAGAGACCCAGAGATGGACATACAGACAGAGACAGAGATGGAGAGACAGAGACAGAGAGAGACACAGCGAGAGACAGACACAGAGAGAGACAGAGAGATGGAGACAGACAGAGACATAGGAAGATGGACAGAGAGGGAGAGAGAGGGAGAGACAAACAGAGACTGAGAGATGGACAGACAGAAACAGAGAGATACAGAGAGACAGAGATGGAGAGAGACAGAGAGAGACAGAAAGACACAGAGAGATGGAGACAGACAGACACAGAAACAGGGAAAGAGAAAGAGGGACAG